GCTAGCCGGTTTAACAGCTCACGGATAATCTGAATCAACTGGGCGTTAATGGCCTGCTGGTTGTTGTTGTTGTTGTTGTTGTTCTGCAAGAAAATCAGAGAGTCATTGTCAAATAGAAAGCAGAGGAGTAGCTAGGGAATTGTATATCATTTCACAATCAAGTGTTTTGAATGTTGAACTGTAGAGGATAGAGAAAGCAGTCACCTCATTTGAATTTGAGTCAGAGTCAGAGTCAGAGTCAGAGCCAGAGCTTGAGCGAGCAAGTCTTTTGTGCTCGGTGTCCATCTGTAGGGAAAGCCACAATTATGATACTGCCTTCATTTTACTTTTGCAATTTAAATACTTTTATCACGGTATAAGAAGAAAAGTATTGATATTAAGTTTGAAAATGTTACACTTACAGGCTGAGCCAGAGCCAGGCTCAGGAGGCATCCAAGAACAAGAGCTAGCTTCAGCATGGTTACAGTGATGATCTGTTAGAAGGAAGAAATAAAGAGTGATGCAGGTTTTCTAAAATATGAGCAAATTCCCACTTAGAAGAATAGAAGGAAAATATATAATTACCTTCAATTCTTCACAACTTCAGCAGATTGTCTCGTAGAGAGTCGAGGAGGTTTTTGAGTTTCTCTGAGTGTTGAGCTTTGCTTATAAACAGGTACAGAAGCGCATGTCATCTCATTAGCAAACAGTGAGGTTGTGAAATTACAAACAAGTTTAGGAAATATTCTACCTCAACATTTCAAGGTGTGTGGCTAATCATCAGAGATGGAAACCACCCTCGGATCATAGGCAGAAATCATTTCCTAGATTGTATCAGAAATAATAGTTCGTTGGATTTTTCTCAAATGGTAATATAGTCAGAAAAATGTGTTTCTTACCACCATTATGTACGAACTATTCCTTCTCCTTATTCTCAACCCTTTACTTTTAGCAACAAAAAAACAGACGGTCATAATACCTGGTCTTATGATTACAAATGAGGTGACTTAAAGGCTTAGACAGGAAGTGGGCGCCACCCAATGATGAAAGCATTTCATTATGCATCTATTTGGTCTAGGAAATTAAATAACATTTTTCCCTCAATTTCCCGAAAAAGTTTGAAAAGAAAACTGATACAAATCTAAGGTGTATCTAAAGAGATTTTCTGTATATATTATGAATTATTGATATCTGACACCAATGTTGTTTTGTTGTATAATGTTGCAAAGAACAGGGATCAAAGTCAATAAGGAAGACATTAGCATCTATTTGTGAGGTAATTGCTGTTTTGCACATGATTGGGTAATTGTGACTAAGATGTGTTGCTTTGAGAAATGTGTGGTGTGTCTCAATATCTGATGTCTGATATAAGTATCAATGCATGAGGGCCCACACACATACTTCTTACAGTAGATGCTATACGGTAAGGGTTCAGCTATGTTAAATGTCTGTTTTAAGGGTGTAAAGTGGCCAAAGTTGAATTTAAATTCTATATTTCTTTCAGGTTCTTGAAAAGCCATGCAGCTCTTGTGTATTGTAGCTTTACTTTTGGCAGCAGTAGCTGCTCAGCCGCCTGCAGGTGGACGCAGGCTGGGTGCAGACTCTAAGGTAACAGAGTCAAAATATTAAGAGACACACGGGTCCAGAAGTGCTTTTACCCTCGGCAAGTATTCATGTTTTTAATGTATGTGTTTAGCGAGGTGACGATGAGCTATTGGTGACCCAAGCCCCTGAAGATGGATGCGGGTCAGGTGAAGAATCTGGACGGCCATCATGGGTATGTGTTGTTTCAAAAGCTATACTTATTATTTCATTTTGATGCAATGTTGGTTGCAGATAATCAGTGATTCCGGTCTCATCTCTTGTTCCAGTAAACTCGGGAAGTTAGATGGTGATATATTTTAGTTAATTACTCTTGCTTTATTCAACCTGTAATATTTTGTAGTATGTATATGTACATATGTTATTTTAAAACATATGTCTTTAAGGGATGTTATCTTCAAATTAGTCATTGTAATACTCTCCAGTTCAGTGGAATTTAGTGTTTATACATCAAATAAAATACAATATATTTCATTCATTCATATCTATTTCCTGAAGGTCTTTACAGAGGGGTTTCTTTATATTGTATTCATAGCCTGATTTATACAAACAACTGTATTATTCCTAGATACATGACAAACAACTGACTGATAACAAAATGACTGTTGTTCAAAAAACATTTGACCCTAATATGTCAACAAAATGAAATACAAATGTTGAACCTTGCTTATTCTAATGTTCAGATTTCTCTTTTAAAAATTACAAAAAATAACTTTTATTTATGCTCTGTTACTATTTAAAACAGACGTTGAGACTTTCTAGAATCATGGTGTCACAGTAAAGTTATTTGGCAACCAGCATACTGTGCAGACAACCTGTGATTAATCAATCAATGTTACACCATCCACCCCTCTCGAAAAACCACAAATTGTTGTTTTTACATTTCTGTTTGTTTTGGAAATAAAATTTAAAAAAGTATGCTTACAGCTAATAAACTGGGTACAGGATATTCAATTGTAAAAAACGAAGACATGGAGTGGGCTAAAATAAGTCATTTGCGACCAAACGAGATCTCGTACTGTAATAAAGAGTTCTCCAGGTAATAACTAGCCTATATTTAGATTTGTTTAGTGTAATTATCTGAACATGTGTTGACCTTACATCTGACCTATTTCACTAAATATGGGCAAGTCCCTACAATTAAAAAGACTACCTAAAAAAATAACAACTTCTATATTCTATATTTTGCTTAGACATTACCATAGTGGTTATCAAGACCTATTGCAACGTGCCATACTTTACCTTTTCCTTGTACTGTTATCTGTACTCAGCATTGTATCTCTCCTCGTCACAGGCTCCAGGTTTCATGTCCGATGTCTCTGAAGTCCCTCATCACAGGTTCGGCAGGCATAGGGGACACAGAGGACCTTCAAGAGGCCACAGGCCCAACAGGAGGAACCCTGTTGAAATGGTAAGCTCACAAAGACACTATAGCTGTACACAAATGGAAAAGTAATACAAAGTGTAATTATTTAAGTCTCTACTTCATTAAAGTCTTTAGTTCACTCATCACCAGGGACACTGGGATGTCTTTATACTGTCCCGCCATACTCCCTCTATTACTGTTCTTTTCTATTTTGATAAATAATCTATATTTGATGTTAGTTGCTTATGTGTTTTATTCTGAATCAGTATTGGATGTCTGACTTTGAAAGTAGCTTACTATTACACTTTAACATTGTCTTGAGTCATGATAAGAAATTAATTACAATTATTTATTTCTGGTTTTAGGTGTTTTCCCCTTCGTTCAAGGTAGGCTTTCTGTCATGTGATTGTATCACATTTAACAATTTACTAGAGCGTTTGGCAAAAACTCTGATTTTTTTTTATTGTAATTCATTTTAAGGTTGACAACGTGACATTTCAGGTAAGAGTATGACTTGACTTTTTTTTTATGTGTAATACAGTACACTGTATGTTTGACATGAAAGGCCAGATATTTACTTTTTTATGCGTTTCGTTCATAGAACACCACCGATGTCTCACTGAAGGAGGTACACATTTTAATTAGATAGTTAACTTAAAATATGAAACCCACTCACTGTATGTTGTAAATCACACTATCTTATGAAATGTTAATATTTCCCTGACATTTTGTGTGAAACAGGGGGAGAACATATTTCTGGCACCGAAGGTATTTTTCTGAAGAATCAATTTTGTGTGTGGTTAAATAATTACAAAAATGACAATTATGATTTGTTGTATTATCAATACATTCTAATGACTGACACTCCATTCCTAGCAGGGTAGAAGAGGACCTCACCATCATCGGGTATAAATTCTTATTTAACTCTTTTTAGCAATGGTTGCATTATCAAAGCTCAGACATTCTGACTCAAACTTCTTTTATAGGGAGGAAGACACGGGCCTCCACAGAGTGGGGTACGCTGGGTTTGTTGAACTTTAATTGTAGTTTTAAAAAACATTATTCTACATTGTTTACACTTACACTCCAGAATTTTGCTTGATTTTATATTAAATGTTTTTTAATACATTTTCCCCTTTTCTGTATTCTGCATTGTGATATATGTTTGTCTTTTCAGCAATATGTGAAGCTAATCTACAATGCCACGCAGCCGGTAAATTCCTGATATTCACTATATATCTAATATATTTAATATAATACATATTTCAATCATAATCATAATTTCTCTTTTTCCATTCAAAGAACATGGTCTCCATTGAGTTTGGGGTTTTGAAACCTGTAAGTACAGACAATATTTATATACAAATTGATTTCTATATATTATGTCATGTTAAAACATAGTAATGCAAAACTCCAATTAAATCACCAGTTAATGTCCCAATCATATAATTACTGTTATACTGAACTGGGAAACACAGAACTTTTTGGAAATAAGCTAGTAAAACAAATAAAACTGTTCTCACATTTAAAGAAACTTCTGCAAATGGGGATTGACGTTGATTGTTTAATTTGAACTCTTTTTTCAAGATAACCCTTGGTGAATATGCTGGAGAGGATGAAAATCCAGAAGACGATTTCTGACAACTTCAACAGGTGAAGGTGTTACTGGAGAGATAATATTTCAAATGAATCACCTGAACATCAATCTTCCACAGTGACTTATGCTGACAATGTTCTCCCCTCACACTTTCCTCAGGAAGAAAACAACAACAACAACAACAACAACAACAACAACAACAACAACAACCATAACAACTAAGTTCGATCAACCAACTTTAAAGAAGATTGTGGTTTTCTATCCTGTAGTATATTCTGAGAAATGATTTGTGTTATTCAGGTTTTACCTGTAAAATCATAATTTCTGTGTACTACAATAAAAGTCTTAAACAAATTACTTTAGCAAAGTTCTTTATTCGACATGTTGTGAAAGCGAGAAGCAAATTCCTGAAACAAGCAAGATGATTTCAGTGTAGTATAAAAAGTATAAATTGCATTTAGGAGAAAGAACACCCCATTACATATTGCAGAAAAATAAGGGATATTGCCGAACACAGAAGTGCATTTTGAATGATTGAATTGTTGTTTTTTACCATCTAAGGCTCAAAAAGGAAGGGGAAGTTGGAGTTACCCTGGAGAAACAAAACAAAACAATTATCAATCCTGCAAAGCTTTGACATTGACAAATTACATAAATCATGGTTTTGTTTGCGTGCATACAAATGAAAGTACATAAGCTTTAAAGGCATCAACATTGGAAATTATACCTCATCAATCCCTGGGCCGGAGGTGTCACCACGAGGATCAGGAGGAATCATAGTAGACTCTCTCTTTGTCCCCATTGGCCATGTCTGATGTAGAAAATTACAAAAACACAGCAATTAGTCTAGACTGGTGCACATTTGTCTCCTTGGTTTATTAGTACATTTACAAAAATCAATAGGTTGTACTCACTTGTTCAGTTTGCACCTTAGGCTGGGAAGGCTGCTGAAAATGGGAAGATTTGCAAAGTAAATACATATAAGTATTTTCCTACACATGTCATTACAATTTTCAAATTAGATACACAAATGTAGTCCTGAGACACCAACATTTCACAAATTAACAAGGAAACTAGATAATAGTGTTGAGCATGAAATATACAAACTGCATAAGGCATCTTTTAACAGTGCAGATATGTAACAATGACTTATTCAACACTGGAATGGGACTGAGGTAACATGATTTCAGCAGCGTGTGGTCAAAAGTCAGACAGTCGATTTTGCATCAGAGTCACCGCAGATGACTCAGCATCTGCAGCTATGTTATCATCATTAAGTCTTATCTTTAGTGGTTTTTCTAACCCTTAATTAAAGGGGCAAAAGGATGTTGCTACACAATCACGTTTTTAAATGTTTTAGTAGCTGTTCTTTGTGTTACTTTATTGAGTAAATATGTAGAAGATATAAGATAAAGACGTCGAGACTGCCTTCTACAAAGCAAATCTCTATTCAGTTAGGGTGGTTTATTTCATTTCATGTTGCGTGTCTCACCTTCAGAGGGAGCTGTGGTCTCTGTGTGGCTCTCTCCAGCTGCTGCTGGCCGTTGTTGGGCTGCATCACCACAGTGTTCCTCTGCTGGGGATAGCCGTAGGGAGGCACAAAGTAAGGGTAGCCCTGTGGATAAAGGAATCACTTTAAATCTGAAGTCAGCATCTAAATAAAGATGTTTAGGTTCGCACACAGGTTAAAACGTTTTCCTACCTGCTGTCTGGGAAACTGAGGAAATCCATAAGATGGGTATTGAAATTGTGGAAACATCTAAAATAAATTTAAAAAAGTTAATAATTTCTCTACATGACTGTGAGAAGCAGCAGGTGAAGCGATAACACTGAGTATTTAAACAAAAGTATCCGTCTGTGTCCATGCTGTTTGGTTGCACCTGAAAAGGGTTTTGGGCCTGCTGAGGAACTTCAGGAGCGTTGGGATCCTGTGGAGGTCCAAGCTGCTCTTGCTGGCCGTTGGGGAACATCATTGGCGTGAGTTGGTTGCCCTGATTGGGGAAAAACAGCTGAGGCCCCTGGGGGCCGAAGGGATTGGCTAATTGAGGGTTAAAGTTCACCATCTGTGGAAACAGCACCTCGGGTCGCTGCTGCTGGAACACATACTGGGGAAATATGGAAGACCCCTGGAAAATAGAAGATTTAAATCTTATTACTTGTATTCACAAATTGAAACTCTATCATCTGACATGTGTTGTAACTCAAGGTGGTAAATGGATCGCAAAACCGTTTTCAGTACCTGTGTTTGTCCCAGAGTTGCAAGAGTTAGTCCATTCAGTCGTAGGATCTGAACACACAAAAGGGTTGTTTTAAACTTGATAACACTATTCCTGTGTAACAATTTCAACTTTATTTAACAGACATAAACAAAAAGCTATATTTAGGCCTACCTCGTTGCTGTTGCTTGCAATAATTCCAATCTGCAACTGTAAAACACAACAAATAACTCTTTATCTCTGACATTTCAGATGACAACAAATATTTACTTTAGCAAGAGATCCAACTTACTGGTAGAGAAAAGCTAGTCCTGAATAGACAGATCAACACAAGAGCAGTCTGCAGCTTCATGATGTCCTACAGTCCATAAAAAACACAAAGCATGGTTTAATAAATCCATATCCATAATATACATTTCTCAAAGACAAAAAAAAACGTTCACTAGAAACATGAGCGTTACAAAATCAGCTTACCTCTTTTTGTTTCTCTGGTTCTGTTTCTCTTTCTGTTGCCTTTCTCCTCACCGTGTCGATATTCCTTTTAAATTCTTCATGTGAGCTGATATAGTCCCCTGCCCACTCCTCCAGACAATGTGTGGTCAGTGACAGACATTTCTCATGGCCTCCGACTCAGACACTTGCAACACAGGACAGGTAAGTATGTTATTAGATGTAATTTCTCTAAACACCATGACACGGTCTCTGTCAAGTTGTTAACAAACCCCTGAAGTATCTGAATTTAAAATGTCATGTGTTTTCCACGAACCCTATAGCGTATAGGTGAGCGTTTTGCTTTAGCAGGCTAATGACTTTTGGTTTAAAGGGCTGTTTTAGTAAAGTACACTTCTTTATGTTCTCTTGAGTAAAGTTTATGTGCATAGTTTACAAGTGTGGTGCTTCAGGATTTAATTACAGACATTGAAACCCGACATATTTTTTTGGCTTGTCATTAGAAAAAAAAAGCAAACATGAGCTGGGAGCTTATTGTCAGACATTTGTCACAAGTTGTTTGTCATGCACCAACTGATGTTGCCATCTTATTGGTAAATTATATGTTATAATAATTGACTGAGTTGGAATTTATGTTGAGGATACACAGCAATGAATATATGAATTCAAATATATTTAGAATCCAACAACAGTATGACTTTCACATCTCCATAGTTCACAAGGCACAGTAGCAATTTTCTAAAACAGCATTGATAAATCATTCAAAAACCAGGGACTATATTTTTACTGTAATCTATTTTCCATGCACACATGCACTTTGGATATGTTTGGTTGTATCTTATTTCAGGCTAAAATTAATATTATACTTTAACTTAAACTTGCCCCTGTTTGCAAACGTGTGACTATACATGCTTTTTGTTTTACAGCTGATATGACGCTTTACAGCAGCAAAAGCACAGGTGGTACTAAAAACATTAACAATGGCTGTGTTCTATTCAAGCGTCATGAAAATAATTTACACCTGCACTACAAAAACTCGAAATATTGCCAAGTATATTTGTCTAATATCTAGTCAGAATATGTCTTTACACTTGCTATAAGCCATAATAACTTCAGAAGGCAAGGCAAGGCAAGTTTATTTATATAGCACTTTTCAACACAAGGCAATTCAAAGTGCTTTACAAAAAATGAAAGACATTAAGAAAATGGCATTTAAAATCAGTCATTAAAAAGAAAAGCTAATAAAATAAACATTAAAAAAGACATGGATAAAAGTTACAGTGCAGTTTAAGATATGAATAGTTCAATTAAACATTAAAAGAAAAAGTACATGGATAAAAGAAGTAACAATGCAGTGAGATATCGGGTCTTGTTTTTAGACAATACATCATCTTGTTAAGTCAAATAATCTTATTTTGAGTTGTATCTCAGATTAAAAACACTTTTTTCACATATTTATTGGAAAATCACCAACTAACATCAGAAAGCAGAACACTTTTGAGCATTTGAGGTTTATATTGTAACACAACATTTCCTGATTCTGGTAAAATATAGTTCAAAATAAGTTTTCACAGCTAATAACAAGATCTGATTTATCTAAATATCCCTTCTTATTTCAATAAATCTTACCAAGCTAATTTGTACTTGTTCTATTGGCAGATTTACTTATTTCAAGTGAAAACACCTTGTTTTCATAATTTGTTCAACTCGTTTTTGGAGCAGCATTTTTTCCAGTGTGATTTTCCCATTTGTGACATCTCAAAATGTCTTGCAAGAAAAAAGCCTTTATGTGATAGATGTTTTATGTTGCACCACCATAGCTCACTCCAGCATTAGCTTCGTAGTGTGTAAGTCCTCACCATATTTTGATTAACCCCAATGCACCAATGAAACCCAAAAAAGCCAATTTTTTTGTTAAAACAATTATTATTTCCTTTTTCTCTTGTCAGCAAAATTCTTCTTTATTAAAGTCATGGTTCTTGAGAAATTGTTGTTTCATGTGTTTCAGTACTTATTATCCTTTAGATGGCAGCAGAGATCCACTATAAGGTGCAACGATAAGCACAGTTTATTGGTGAGAATGTGTCAATACATTGGAGTGAAATCAGTGGATTCAACATCACAAACTTTGATTAAAGAATCGTTTATTTTATTTCACAGTTAACATGCCACACACTTGTTTTTACTGAGATTCATTAAGTTAGTCTAAAGTCTTATAATAATTAATAAGACAAACAGATTCCATTGTCATTGGTCGAGACAAAATCATACAAATCAAGTTTTATTATCATTTTGATACTTCTTGCATATCTGATTAAAATGTATCACTGTCATCTTAATAATCTTCATGACGAACTCCCCCCTCACAGGGAGTGGTTGTAGTAGCTTCAATGGGAGCTGGAATCTGAGGAAATGAACAAAGAGTGAATAAATGAAACATCTTAAAAAGAGAAGCAATGATACCAGAGAGTGTTGATGATGTTATCCACCTAGATCTATTACTTTTTCTTGTAAACTGCATAATATTACCTGGGTATCCACAGTGGCCTTCAAGGTGTTGTCTTGTTTCACATTCTGACGCTGGAGAGTGAAAAAACAACAGTTAGCCAGAGCAGCTTTTGTCAGTATTCACATAGAGGCATAGTTCATTTTGTAACTACTCTGAATCTTCTGAATGGATCAGCCTGAAGGGGAACCTGCTGTTGCATGGCACCACCTGGGACCCCCTAAACAAAGGCAGCAAGGTTTTATTATCCAATTGGTTTGTTTTATTGTCATCAAAAAATCATGTAACCAGTAATAAAGTGTGTTGTGATGAGATGAAAACAAGATTGATTACCATCTGAGGCTGCTGAGGAGGATTCATTTGTGCACCTTGAGGCACTCCCATGAAGGGAAACTGCCAGTAAGGAAAGACATAAATCAATGTTGTTGTTTTGTGTGGTACTATAAAGCCCGAAACAATATCAAGTGTGTTGTTATACAATTACTGTATTTGCAACACTAACCCCATTGACTGCAGGGACAGCGTACACATTGGCAATAGGGGCTGGAGCAGCAAAAGCAGGAACTCGTTGAGCAAACTACAAGAGAGGGAGAAAGATGTGATTGTTCATGTTGGGGTGTTTGTGTTTAAGTGTTGCTAATGGTGGATCAGATCAGATATTTGTAAATATGGTCATATTGTAACTGAATGCATAACATGAATTCTGAATTCCACCAATGCCAACTTGTGGTTTAGTTACAGTAAGAGATCAAACGAAACAAATAATTGTTACCAAATGTATTGTTGTACCATGCATGTACTGGACATGTTTTGCATTATATATTAACCTTATTTGTTACAATGCCACATTTGTCTTTTTTATTGTTTTGACACCAAGTTTTGATCTTTCCAGTCAGCTACTAACACCCAGATTAAGGCAAGGATATAATACACATTTTAAATAACATCTAAGTCACTGACTCTTCTTATGAATTTTGAATTGTATTTGGTAATTTTCTTTGCTGTGGAACTGAGATGATCAATGGCAGCTTGAAAGACTCACCTGGACAAACTGCGGCTGCCCGATGAAACCTGCCCCTCCACTAGCTACCATGGCAGGGTTCAGGCCTCCAGCCATTAACCGGGGGTTCACCACTCCGTTTGCCATTCCTCCAGCCAACATCCCAGGGTTCATACCTGCCATCATCCCAGGGTTCATACCTGCCATCATCCCAGGGTTCATACCTGCCATCATCCCAGGGTTCATACCTGCCATCATCCCAGGGTTCATACCTGCCATCATCCCAGGGTTCATACCTGCCATCATCCCAGGGTTCATACCAGCCATCATCCCAGGGTTCATACCTGCCATCATCCCAGGGTTCATACCAGCCATCATCCCAGGGTTCATACCTGCCATCATCCCAGGGTTCATACCAAGCATAGCTGCCAACAACTTCTTTGTCTGTGTGAGGGGGAGAAAGCGCATTCTTAATAATACAATCTTATTTTGGAGAATGGCAATAATGACACATAAATTATACGTTTTTCTTACCTTGCCTGCATTGACCTGCTTTTTGTAAAGAAACAACAGACAGTTACAAGCACTGCTTTGTATGTTAGATTGATACATAGATACATATATGGATTGTACTCACACAGCAGATGGTTGCAACAAATGTTGTAAGGAGAAGAAGCTTCATTTTGCAGTCTGAGACGTAAGAAAAAGACCAGAATAGGTGCATTAAACTCATTAAAAACTAATATTTTTGTAAAATATTAGTTGGAACATGAATACTTTTGTATTTTCATGTGGGATTGTTCCCACACATTGGGACCACATTGTTAAAAAATCTCAAGAGTGCAATACATACCTTTTTTTTCCTCTGAAATGTTATGTGCCAAGGAGGACTATAGTTGCTCTCTGAATTTAGAGCACCTTTTATCAGTCCGCGAGATTATTATGAGCCAATTAGAAAGGAGAACACTGACTTGTTCATAACCAATATTTGTCACCTGTGTGTCATATACCTTGTGATATGACATATGCTTTTTCTGCAAAGCTTGATTTAAAGAATGTAACAGCGAGCTACTTATTTTCAAGTCACTTCACCATTCACTTCAACCATTTAACATTGTTCTCCACACAGCTGAGTGACCGCAAACAATAACAGAGTGATTCATTGTCTTAGAAAGGTTTTGTGGGGTTTCTGAAAGCCACTGACCAAAATCCACCATGAACCATCTAAATGTTGTGGGTAATTGTCACAGCAGGCAAACAACTCACATCATCTTTAACTGATTTTATTGAGAAATTAGAAAACATTTGACTGTATGCTATTAAGAAATATACCCTCAAAGCAGCATGCTGTTTATCAGAGGATTATTGCGACATCAGGAACACAGCTAAGAATAACAACTTCTGTGTTTTTTAATGTCTGTGCAAATATCTATAATAAAATCCAATGATTAAATACTAGTCATGTCTGTCGTCGCAGCTTTAAAATCAGCTGTGGTCTAGAGAGAATAATCAGTTAGGTAACAAACGTACAGCAACACAATATTCATATTAAAGGCAATAAAGACCTTTATACTTGCAAGTATGACGTCTCCTCCAAAGGCAAGGCAAGTTTATTTATATAGCACCTTTCAACACAAGGCAATTCAAGGTGCTTTACAAAAATGAAAGACATTCAGACAAAGGCATTTAAAAACAGTCATTAAAAAGAAAAGATGATAAAAGAAACATTAAAAGAAAAAATACATGAATAAAAAGTACATGAATAAAAAGTTATAGTGCAGTTTAAGATATGAATAGTTCACACAGAAGTTCCACTTTACTGATGCCCTTCTAAGGTTTCTCCGAACATGAGCTGTGTACGCTTGTATGGCACATACGTCCCGAGCAGCATACACAGACAAAACCAGCCAGGACTGAGTCCCCAGACACTGATTCCCTGGGGTTACTAGCCCCAAATGTTCATTAACCAAAAACGAAACACAACCGCTCAGTTTCAATTAAAAGAAAAGTCTTCAGCCTGGATTTAAAAGTAGTAAGAGTTGCAGCGGACCTGCAGGTTTCTGTGAGTGTTTTCCAGATATTTGGAGCATAATAACTGAACGCTGCTTTACCATGTTTAGTTCTGACTCTGGGGACAGAAAGCTGACCAGTCCCTGAAGACCTGAGAGATCTGGATAGTTCATAATTTAGCAGGAGGTCAGAAATGTATTTTGGGCCTAAACCATTCGGTGCTTTATAAACCAGCAGCAGTATTTTGAAATCTATTCTTTGACACACAGGAAGCCAGTGTAAAGACTTCAGAACAGGAGTGATGTGATCCACTTTCTTAGCGTTAGTGAGGACTCGAGCAGCGGCGTTCTGAATCAGCTGCAGCTTCCTAATAGATTTTTTAGTGAGACCTGTAAAGACACCATTGCAGTAGTCGAGTCTACTGAAGATAAAAGCATGGACACGTTTTTCCAAATCCTGCTGTGACATTAGTCATTTAATCCTAGATATGTTCTTTAGGTGATAGTAGGCTGATTTAGTAACTGTTTTAATGTGACTGTTGAAACTGAGTCAGAGTCCATGACTACACCTAGATTTCTGGCTTTATCTGTTGTTTTGCAGACTGAAGCTCAGCGCTCCAAAAGAGAACGTACTGTTCTGAGTGAAACGGGCTCTCTTTATAAGAGGACCTCAAAGCAGCAACAACATTCTGGGAGGCCAGCTGATATCCCCTCTGGCACTGTATGCAAAACCATCACACCCTACAAGACAATGGGATGTACAGATACCCCTCAGACACAGTGTGCAAAACCCTCACCCCCTAAACACGTCTGTTGATCACACATACATTTAAGGTTCACTCCCAAGAGATGACCTAATCAGAGAAACTAAGGTTAGCAATGTTAACACATTTGATCGCAAAATGTCCTTAACATGTCTCAAGAGAGCCCTAATGCAATTTGTGTTACATGCCTCAAGCTGATTTAACTAACATAATTGTATCACTATGGGGGAGTTAAAGTCCATCTTAAAGGACAGAGAACAAGAAACCATTGGTCGACGTGATTGCTCTTATCTCCTAATTTAAGTCGTTTTAAAAGTGTGCCAGTTTTTTATGTTGTATAGCAGTTTCTTTTATTTGCATGGTTAATGTGCCATTTCATTAGTTTTTTACGACAGCTGTATTCGTCTGCCTGTATTGTTTTGTGTTCATTTGTTGTAACTTTGTTCATGTTGCCCTCTTGGCCAAGTCACTCCTGAAAAAGAGATGTTAATCTCAATGAAACCTGTACCTGGTTAAATAAAGGATAGCTTATAAAACACAAGCCTTAACATAACAACTCATACAGCACAACAACTCAGCAGTGATGACACTGTCAGACAGCGTTCATTTGTAAACACTCCATTCTTGCTCATATAAGTTGCAGATATTTTTCATGTTTCATCAGCATATTTTCTCAAGATGTTTAGGGACGTTAAATGCATCCCCAGTCTGGTTGGCTGGATATGTTGTCACATACTGAGGCTGTCTGGGAAAGTTTTTTTTTCTTTTTCTGCTGTCTGGGCAGCCCGCAGCCGACCAGGTAAACACCCTCTGTGGAAGTCTGGTCTGGAGCTTTGTGCTAATTACACACTGTCATGTAGTTCAAATGAAGTAACAGTTTTTCATTTTTGTAGTTTAATGTTGAGAAAAATAGTATTTCCCAATGTAATTATGTAAATATGTAAGATTTATCAATTTAATAAGAATTTATTTTTCATAGTTCACAGACAGGATTCAATAAACAAGAGTCTGTTCTGCCAAGACTCGAGTAACATGCCTAGAATGGTATTCCTTTTTAGAGACCTTAATCACCATGTAGCAAGTAGTTGCAAGCAACGTACTGTAAATAGAAATGTGCGCATATTACCAGTCTCATACGTAAAAATAACATCAGATGAAACACACCCATGAGGCTGGTTGATGTTGTTCAGTTTTTTTTGCTCAAGTACACTTTGACAGACATATTTTGGGCTCCATGGTAATGTGAAAACAAACATGTATTTTATTGATATGTTGGAACTTCGACTCAAGAAAGATTCAGCAATTGACTTCCATCATTTATTGGTTATTAGTTATGAGGACAATGATTTATAACATTCAAGCATGAGCAGGATTAAGGGAATGCATCATGACATATTGCTGACAGCTGTCTCATTTGGCTTGCTTCTCCTCCAAATCTGTCCCAGAGCATTCTTCATCTTCATCGACTGCCACCACCTTCATCACGGGAGGCTGTGTCCTCCTGAGGCGAGCTGCAACTGACCGCTGAAACCTCACTCCTCCAGCCGCCCTCCCACCAGCGACAACCGGTTGTGGCTGGTTGTTCAGCCCGGCCAATGAGATCAGCTGCACCTGGCCGGGAGTCAACAGAGAGCCCTGTGGGAGTCCTCCAGCATTTCTCTGCGGCAGCACGGCAAACAATGGGACCGGCCCACCCCCAGCAACCTGAGTCAACTGCCCCTGTGGATTCACATTGGCACCAGCGCCTCCCTGCCCCACAAGGAATGCTCCACCTTGTTGGAGAGCTCCGATGGGAATCAGCTGCTGCAGAGGAGGCTGACCTACTTGGTTTCTGACTGGCTGGATAAAAAAGGAGCCACCAAGTTGGACTAAGTGTCCCACAAGGGGCGCACCGTTTAGTGGGATCCCATTTGGACCCCCAGTGTTGGCATTGTTGCCAGCTGCTGCTCTATTGTTATTCACTCCCACATTGGCAAGGGCCTCAGCACTCCCTGAAGACACACCACCCTCCACCACAAGAGCAAAGGTGTAGAAGAGAACCCCCAGTGTGCAGAACATGTTTAATCTCAGTCACAGCAGACAGGCGACAGGTACAGAGCTGCTTCTCTCTGTGCTTATATAGAGAGTGTCAGATTCAGTGATCACTAACAAAGGTCCAGCCCTTTATCTCAAAACAACAAGTCACTGTAATCATCATGACCATGCTGCAGGCTATTTTTTGCTTTGTTACCTTACAGAGGGCCATTATTAAGGGTTAAGTGGCCAAACTCAACCAGTTATCAGTGACTTGCATTTCTAAAACTATTGTTGCCATGGTCATATTTTCATGTCATGGTGGCATTGGGGTATTGATCGGTGAAAAAAACATGGTATTAAAGTATAAACTGATACATCCCAACCAATATAATGCTATAACTTTATTACACGAGTGTAAACAAAGTCATCATTAAAAACGTGTGCACTGAACTATTCAAGTCCTCAGTTGTCAATAAAGCTTTACTTAGATCTACAATGAAACGTGAATGCAAAGACAAACATTTACAGCATTTAGCTACTAAGATAAGAAACACAAGATTTTTTTTTTACATTTTGTAACACAAGGTTATATTATCTTGATTTAAAGAGTAAATATTTACTAAATCACTCTTACATACAAACCACAGTTATTATTTTGAAGCCTGGTACTATGTACAACAACTTTTCTAATAATGAGCTGATGTAAACTTTTCCCCAATTTGGAATGCATTAGAAATAACTTTCTGGATAAAACCAGCTAAATGAAACAGTTTCTTATATTATAATATAATGATTCTAGCTGCACAGTCTAAATTACAGAAAAAATATCCAAATGTCCAAGATTAGCTTTACACAGGACAACAGGAACTACCACCAACACTTGCCCTCTGTAGCAGGAAATAAAAAGGAGTTTCTACAATCGGTCAGATTTCCTAATGTTACAGAGGTTCATGGATGCTTCAGTCTGTTGGAGCAGATTAAACAGGCTTGTGTTGTAGGTGAGGTACAAAGTGGAGCTCAGAACAGCAGGTTGACATCCATATCATCTGTGGATGAAAGTCATTAGTCATTAATATGTTAAAAAACTGAAACAGAATTTGCCAACATCAACGGTATTTGCTAAATGCTTTAGAAGTGCATGAGAATCAAAGCAGACAAATATTTTTTTTAAACCTTGGAATAATTGACAATTTTCTTTTTACTGGAACCCATTAAAAACTATTTGTATGTATAGTATTTGATGTTATGTTATTACCTGACTGAATTAAATTAAAAATAACATTAAAAAAAGAAATGTCAAGATACTAGTTTACGAATGCTGTCAAAATAACGAGACACAAAGACATGAATACAGTATTTAGTTAGTAGTAGTACTCATTCATTGTGAAAATGTACAGACTCTCATTCAGAAGGTAGTGCCATATGAAACCAAAGCATAAAAGCCATACTCACTGATTAGAAAAGTGTACTATAGTAGCTTAGTGAATATGTGTGGCTCTTACCATTTTTGATACCGAAACAGGAAGTCCACTCTTTAAAGGACACCTGCTTGTCCTTGTCAGCATCGCACTCTTGAAAGAAGCGGGAGGTGCAGTGCTCCATCGGCACCAGAGGGACTCTAAGTGGGGCCAGCTCTGAGTGGGACAAGATTCTGCACAGGATGGAAAAATACCCAATTTGATCATTTTGAGCATCTGATTTATGTAGAGTACAGTATGATTTCCTAGCTTAGTTCTGGCTAGGTTATTGTGATGTATTAGCCAGTCATGCTTTTGGCATGACAATGATGAGAAAAATCAACAACAAAAGCCACACAATTGGCTTGAATGACTACAGTGCTGTATACGCGTTCTAACACATAGGCTACTAGTGAAATCCTATAGTCATCACTCTATGATCATTTTAAAACTTAATCTAAAAGTTGATAAAAGTTCACTGTAAACACAGAGTGATAAAATGTACCTGTCGGATGGGTGTTGGTCCAGTTGTGCAAACTGCCAGTGCACTGGGTAGATGTACATGTTGTAGTTCTTCTCAAAGTCCTGCGCCAGCAGCTCAACGGAGTGATCACCAGCATGCAGACGCCTCTCACTCTCAAAGATTTTCTTCACCTACAAATTCAGAACATTAAACATCATATTTTATTTTTCCCAACATGCTATGTGAAGTTATGGACAATTACGTTTTTAATCAAGATTAAAATAGATAGTTCTTAATAAACTAGAAAGTCCCACAGCTTGTCTTACTCTAAAACGTTGTTTAGGCGTGAGGAAGCCAGGAGACATGGAGTCATGTTCAAAAAGCTGCAGGAGAACATTCTTCAGCCAATCCCTCATTCGTAATGGGAACTGGACCAGCTCAGTCTCCACACATTGAGGGATGACTGAGAGATAAACAGAAAGAAAGATCATGATCAACCATGCACCATACTTCAAATAAAAAAACTGCTTTAATACCAATTATTCTGTAAGTGGATAACTCTCACATTTGCATGGCCCAGTGTAGTCCATGTGAAGTCTGTGTCCTCTCTTAGTGCCCTCCAGGTTGCATTTAGTGGCAAAGAGTTCACATGATGTATCGTATGTTTTGTTGTTTGTGCCACAAACCTACAGAAATGCACAAGCAAAAGTCTAATAAAATCCAGCAGCTGTTGAAAACAAATCCAGTTCAATTTTCGACAGATCATAAATACTTACATTATCAAACTGATTGGCACTGTGAGGACAATCTGCCGGCTCTTGACACACGCAGCCTGGCTTTTTGTCCGCATCAAGTTTACATGTCTTTCCACGTTTGCAGGGGAAGTTGTCACATGGATCTATAAGGGGAAAAAAGCACTGCATGACCTTTGACCTTTGCTCTGTCTGAATCCTAAAACCAATGTTATCAGGAATAAGGTTCTGTTTTTTTCCCCAGTGTCTTGTCTGGAAACCAATGAGCAATAATCACTACAGGCCATCCTCTACATTCCACTGACATTTGAGTTTGCACAGCGATCAAATCAACTTGATCTCCATTATTCTTTTCTTAATCCCCCAGAGCTGTGTTTTGGTAGTGACCGTGAAGCAGAGTGACACCATTCATGCAGAAGTTTTAGCTAAATGATCCAGTCAGCAGATTCCCGTGTGAGTTTGTTGGGATAATGCATTAGTCAGTTAGGGGATTGCTGAATAAACCAACCGGCAGGGGCTTCTGGGCGATGTACGCCTCCACCAGGAGAGGGCCTGGATCCTGGGTAGAGATCCACTGTCGCTCTTATCTGCACTGGATTCATTCCTACTAGAGGGCCCTAAAAAGGTAAAAGGAAAACATAATTTCAAAACAAATTTGTATTTACCAACTTTGTACCCGATTGCAGCACCACAGCTAAATAAAAAGTCACATATCCTTAAAGGTCCCATGTCATGGCCATTTCTAATGATCATTGTTGAGGTATACTAAAATACATTTATATTGTGCAATTTTCCAAAATCATTGGTTTCTCATACAGCATCTCTGTATAGTATGTGTATTCACTCTCTGTCCTAAACGGCTTGATGGAGCTCCTGCCCCCCCTCCCTATGAGCCCAGTGGCCGTCTGCGAGACAGCGAGACACAGCGAAACCCAGCCCGAACACACACACCTGCAGCCTGGCTGGGAGTTTGTGTGTGTGCTCACACACCGACTCACAGTCTCGCCGCGTCCCGCCGTCTCAGGGAGGAGAAATCGGCAGAGCTGCAGCTGAGAAAAGATTGAGTGTGTGTGTGTGTGTGAGGAAGTCCGCGGATTGGTCAATTTGGACCAATCCACAGACTTAACGTAACGGCTCCACGGATGGGTCCATTGGGTATGGGCACGTCACCATACCCAGAAAGAAAACAATGGAAAAAGAGAAATCTCCAACGAGGCGTTCTGGGCAGTATAGACAGGTTTTTTCTGTATTAAAGTTTTACTCGCTACAGAGTGTACTTTGAGGGTTTGTGACTTTGCAGACCGTTTACATGCATAAAAACCTTCATAACACACAAGGGGACGGGTAATAACCTGAAAAGCATGACATGGGACCTTTAAAGAAAACATGCAGTTACATGTTGTGTCCACTTGAAGGTAGCAGAAACAACA